GAGAGCGACGGAACATTTGTTCCAAGCGAAGCAATGATGGGACAACAAGCTCCTCCAATTACAAGCGCTTGTCTAAGCATTGTCGTCGCGAAATTCCTCACGCTTGTTGGGAACATCTCAATCATATAAACTGCCATCAAGTTAAATCCGATCCTAGCGCAGAAGAAAGAACCGAGTTCAAGGGCAAACGCGATGGTTGGTCGCCCAAAAAGGGTCAGGACGAAACAGAGCATTCCTGCTGCTCCTCCTATTAAGCAATTCACAAGCACAGAGCTTCTTCTGTTGAATTTCTCTAGCAAGATTGGTGTGACAACAAACGTCGGTAACTCCACCAATGCGTTTAGTGATTCACTCAAATAGATGTTCACTTTGATGTCTCTAACCGCTAATGGAACTCCGTAATACATCATTCCCAACCCAAACATTATGATCATAACAACTACGATTCTTCGAAAAGCCCATTTCCGAACGAACAAGTCCTTGATCGAGGACCTTGGAGATTTTTCTAGGGTTTCTTTTGGAGGTAACCTAGAAGCTACTGATTCCAAGTAACCTTTCTTTCCAGGTGCAATCCTTTTGAGCACTTCAATGGCTTCTTCGTTCTTCCCTTGCACATGGAGCCAACGAGGAGACTCTAAGGCGAAGAAATAGAGGAAAATACTGTAGACGGCTGCTGGAACGGATGTGCAGAGATAAAGAACTCTCCAGGAAGCGTGTCGAACAAGGTAAGCGATTCCAGACAGCGACATGAACCCTAAGACAAACAGAGTAAAAGGAATCATAGTAGCTCTTGGTCTCCATTTCGTTGAAACTCGCTCGCTTATCAGATTAAATGCGTAAGTCCCGGTCTGGGAACGCGCGAATCCGATAACGAACTTTAAGAAAGCGTAGATCCATATGTTGGGAGAGAAGAAAATCGAGATTCCAGTGAGTGACATTGCTAAAGTACAGAAGAAAACAAGTTGCTTCCGTCCCAAGAAACTATCTGGGATTATAGCCATGAAAAACCCTCCAATGATAGATCCGACATAAAAAGTTGAAGTAGGGAGACCTCTAAGGAAGGAGCTCGAGCACTCGAGATTGAACTCGGAAATGACGGATTTACCCTTGAAACCACCTTCCCATTCCCAGGCGGACCGTGGAATCTCACAGATGTTTGAGGTTGCCGGATTACAGATCGTGTGGTCGAGACAGTGCCACGTGGGATATGCATCAGTGAAGACTGTGATGAATATCTGATGCGAATCGAAGGATAAGGCAAGCCCGACAATGATTATCTGTAAAAACTGTGGGAATCTGAAATCAGACAAGCTCTGTTCGAAGATCTTGTCGAAAGTCACAGGTGAAGAAGTATCTTCTTCATCTTCGTCGATATGGGTCAACAATGGTGTTGCAGATGAATCCGCCATTTTTGCTCACTTTAGTAGACTTTTTTTTGCGAGGATTTGAGAATTATTACATCAAAAATAAACAACCACTCTCTAGAGAGATAGAAAACCTTGGCATTTACTGATGTGTGGGTCAAACAAAAGATCGATCTTGACCTGCCCAATAATTGAAGTGTGCGTAAATTACAAGACACATTTGCTTATGTAAGTCATGTTCTGCTTCCATGTGTTGCAAATTTCGCCAAGAATACGAAAATTGTCAAAAGGGAGCTATCAAATTGAATAGTGAAATCAATAATTATAATCTTGGCTTATAAGATTATTATCCATATCTACATCTACTGTCACCATTCTCACTAGTTACTTGCCCACCTTGTGTTGTTGAATGCATATTCGAACACATGAATCGTGCTTACTATGTAGAAGTAAATGCGTCTGTATAAGTTTTTCAAAGACGTTCTTATGATAGAGCTTTGTAGCTGATTTCAATTTCTTTAGCATTTATGGAGATTTTAATCCAAAAACAAAACCGGAAACAATATGGTAGTTTAACAAGAACTCAAAAACTAAATGGTTTCACTTGTGAAATACAAAGAAAATCAAAGATGGTTTGATTAACCGGAAATAGACGGTGAACCAGAACTAAATGGTTCGGTGTAGTGACAATTTATATGGAAATACAGTTTAAGAACGAAGTTTTAGCAAGAATGGTTAGTCTTCAAGGCTTGGTCTCTTTGCTCTTGTGCTTCCATTGTATCACAAAGACTTGACCCTTTAGTCTCAGGAAGAAGCAAAGTGAATAACCCGAGACCGGACATTGCAAGCCCGAAAACCGCGAAAGAGAGCGAAGGAACATATGTTCCAATCGAAGCAATGAGTGGACAACAAGCTCCTCCAAGTACAAGCCCTTGTCTGAGCATCGTTGTGGCAAAATTCCTCACGCATGTTGGGAACAACTCAACCATATAAACCGCCATCAAATTGAATCCAATCCTCGCCCAGAAGAAAGAAGCAAGTTCGAGAGCAAAAGCAATGTTTGTTCTTCCGAAAAGGCTTAGGACGAAACAGAATACTCCTGCTGCTCCTCCGATTAAACAATTCACAAGAACAGTGCTTCTTCTGCTAAATTTCTCAAGCAAGATCGGTGTGATAACAAATGTAGGTAGCTCTACCATTGCGTTTAAGGCTTCGCTCAAATAGATGTTCACTTTGATGTCCCTAACCGCTAATGGAACTCCGTAATACGACATTCCCAACCCAAACATTATGATCATAACAACTACGATCCTTCGAAAAGCCCACTTTCGGATAAATAACTCCTTGATCGAGGAGCTTGACTCTTGAGCCAAAAGCAAACCTACGAACATTTGTTAAAACAGAAGAAATGATTAATACTATTTAATACCATAGAGCCTTTAAGAATTTTGGTCTTTTTGGTGTTTTTCATCTCTAGCAATTTTCGTCAATCATATTTGTAAGAAAAAACTAACTTGTAGATGTAGACAAAGAGAATCTGCTAAGTTGTCTGATCGACAAGCCTTTTTCAGACACAACCATGTATCAATCCATGTATTGAGTCTTGAGTGTGACCACTTTTGTTATAACAATTATTTGCTAATGAGTAATGAGTGTTTAGTCATATTTAAGATTTGGATTTTGTCTCTTTATCAATTAGCTTCCAAAATCTTTATTTATGATTTTATGGATAGAGGGGTTCAAAGTTTAAAACCGATAGTAAAATTAAACCGATCGATTCAATTTTAGAAACAAACCAAAAAAATTGGATTAAACCGATCGATTCAACCAACTGAATCACTATTGTATTCGATCCAAATTTACCAAACTCAAAAGTTTTGACTTATTAATTTTAACAAACCATACTAAAACAATTTGACTTAATAATTCAAATAAAATCAATCTAATCAATCTAGAGAAATTTTAAGAAATGACATTTTTCAAGTGCCACTTTTCAAAAATGCCACATTTTCAAAATCTGTGCAAAAATGCCACTTTTTCAAAATTATTTTTTCGTTGTGGCATTTTTGCAAATGAACAACCCCCTACTAGCATTTTTGCAAATGGACAACAAAAAAATATCATTTTTGCAATTGTCTCA